CTCTGTATTTCAAATTTCAGTGTTTTTGGTTTGATTATATTATTGAATTAAATTTATTATTATTTTTTATGATTATTTATTAAATTATAATTTATGATTTTGTGTTTCAAATTTTATCCTACCCGGGATGTTTACTAGACTCTTGTTCAGACAGATTTCAGTGAGTTATTCCTAAAAATTACAGCCTTCCATGCAAAAAAATGTACCGCTTTCAGCACAAAAAAATCAGAAATAATCATACCGCCAGGAAGGTTAAAAGCTTACTTTTCAAAAGGGGTGTACTCATTTATGCTGAGCACTGTATATACATGGAATGGTTCTTAAGCAGTTAACCGCTTGCCACCCAGCCAGTGGCAGGGCGGCGCTCGTAGGCAAAAGCACGTTTTAAAACGGCTGCCTTCAAAACAGTGTCAGCAGCGGGTCTCCGCCGCCGGGTCACGGCCGGTTTTTACCGGCCGTTTTCCCGCGATGAGCGGTGATCACTGACACAGAGCAGGGCTGCATTGTTTACACACAGCCCTGCTCTGTGACAGTCCCCCTCCCTCCCCCCGTCCAGTACACACCCCCGCCCCCTAGTAAAACACTCCCCTTACACAGTAAATTCTAAAAAATGTTAACCCCTTCCTCCCCAGTGACATTAGTACAGTTTCAGTGTTTTTTTTTTCACTGATCTCATGTATTGGTGTCACTGGGGATGTCAGTGACCCCAAGTCAGTTCCCCCCCCAGTGTCAAAATGTCCGCCGCAGTCCCGCCATAAGTCGCTGGTCGCCGCCATATGTCGCTGATTGCCGCCAAAAGTCGCTGATCGGCTCCATTATTAGTATAAATAAAAATTAAAAATCCCAGTATCTTTCTCGGCATTTGTAAACGCTATAACTTTCACGTAAACCAATTAATTTACACGTATTGGTTTTTTTTTTAGCAAAGACATGTCGCAGAATGCATTTTGGCAGAAATTTATGACTAAATTTGATTTTTGCATTCTTTTTTTACTGGACATGTTTTATAGCAAAAAGTCCAAAATATAGTTTTTTTTTCCTCAAAATTGTCAGCCTTTTTTTTTATAGCGCAAAAAATAAAAACCGCACAGGCGATCAAATACCACCGAAAGAAAGCTCAATTTGTGTGGAAAAAAAGGATGTAAATTTCATTTATGTACCGTATTGCATGACCGCGCAATTGTCCGTTAAACTAGCGCAGCGCTGTATAGCAGAAAAATGGCGTAAATTGCAGTATTTATACCATAGTTTGTAGATGCTATAACTGTCACACAAAGCAATCAATATACACTTATTGGGATTTTTTTTTACCAAAAACATGGAGCAGAATACATTTTGGCCTAAATTTATAACCAACTTTGAGTTTACTATATATTTTTTATAGCTGAAAGTAAAAAATATTGTTTTTCTTCAAAATTTTTGGCCTTTTTTTGTTTATAGCATGAAAAATAAAAAGCGCACAGGTGATCAAATACCACCGAAAGAAAGCTCTATTTGTGTGAAAAAAAGGACGTAAATTTCGTTTGGGTGCAGCATTGCATGACTGCGCAATTATCAGTTGAATTAGTGCAGCGCCGAGTAGCAAAAAGAGGCCTGGTCATTAAGGGGGGTAAATCCTCAGGAGCTCAAGTGGTTAATATAAGTGTAATTTGGCCCAACATTGGTTTTCAGTTTTGGGTTTTAGCATCTACCATCTTCTCCAATTCAGTAAAAGAACCTAGTCACAGCTGATCGGATTTCATGGAATACAACTTCTACCAGAGCTGGTGGCCACTCAAATGTGCCTACACACCTTAGCCTTAACAACCCCATCCAACAACAGGGAGAAGTATGCAATAGGTCAGTCAATAGTCCCTAGCCCCAATGCTGGGAACACTCCAGACAGTGGTCCTGGAAAGTGACCACACACTGTACCTGGGTGGAACTGTAAAAACTGTAAAGTACCTTCACTTTGCCCCAGGTTTCTGCTTGCTTTTCAGTGCCGTGTCAGCAACTCCATCTTGATATGACGGAGTCTTCAAACTTCCATACTATGGCTTGTTGGGACAATCTGTCAGTACTAACCTTTCTTGTGCATCGGATTTCTGATTCCCGAATAACTGCTGGTGCCATGTTGCATTTGGATGAGTATGATATTTCAGCATGAGACGTTCTGGCAAAATATTTAATGTCGTCATTGAGGTCGTCACCCTCCCTAGGTGAAATGATGATGCTTTGGAGGTTTATATGGCTGTGGTGGGTTTTAAGTGGCTACAGGGAGATCCGGGAGGTACAGTATGAAGAATATGGGAGATTGTTGTCACATGGACCACACAGCCAGCACTTGCCAGATATTCCTGCAGCTCCTTTAATGTTGCTGTAGGCCTCTTGGCCGCCTCCCTGACCAGTTTTCCTCTCGTCTTTTCATCCATTTTGGAGGGATGTCCAGTTCTTGGTAATGTCACAGTTGCACCATATTTTCTCCACATGATGATGACTGTCTTCACTGTGTTCCATGGTATATCTAATGCCTTGGAAAGTCTTTTGTGCCCTTCTCCTGACTGATACCTTTTAACAATGAGATCCCTCTGATGCTTTGGAAGCTCTCTGCGGACCATTGCTTTTGCTGTAGGATGTGACTAAGAAAATGTCAGGAAAGACCTTCTAAAACAGCTAAACTTTATTTTGGGTTAATCAGATGCACTTTAAATGATGGCAGGTGTGTACTGACTCCTATTTAACATGATTTTGTATGTGATTGTTTAATTCTGAACACAGGTACATCCCCAGTTACACAATTCTTTTCCATTCTATTCTTTTTGAAATTAGAATTTTAGGAATACGACTATATTCTTTCTATTTTATTCTATCCTATTTGAAATTCAAATTTTGAAATTCGTAGTTCAGGAGACAGCTATATTCTTTCTATTTTATTCTATGCTATTTTAATCTATTGTTTTCTATTTTTTTCTATTCTCTTCTAGTCTATTCTATTCCTTTATATTCTATCCTGTTCCATTCTTTTATTTTCTCTTCTATTTTTTTATTTTCTGTGCTATGCTACTCTGACTTATTCTATTCTAATCTTTTTGAAATTCGAATTTCAGAAGACAGCTATATTCTATTTTATTCTTTTCTATTCTCTCCTAATCAATTGTGATCTATTCTTTCCATTCTATTTTTTATTCTGTTTTATTCTATTCCATTCTTTTTTGAAATTCGAATTTTGGAGGACAGCTATATACTAATACACACAATCTTTTATTTTCTGTTCTAAATTATTCTAGTCTAATTGTTTCGAAATTCGGAAGACAGCTTTATTCTTTCTATTTTATTCTGTTCTATTCTCTCCTAATCAATTGTGATCTATTCTATTTTTTTTTCATTCTATTATTTTCTTTTCTGTTTTATTCTATTCTATTCTTTTTTTAAATTTGAATTTCGGAGGACAGCTATATACTAATACACACAATCTTTTATTTTCTGTTCTAGCTATTCTGAATTATTCTAGTCTAATATTTTCAAAATTCGGATTTCAGAAGACAGCTATATTCTTTCTATTTTATTCTATTCTCTACTAATCTATTGTAATCTATTCAATTTTTTCCATTTTATTTTTTTCTATTCTATTCTGGTTTATTCTATTCTATTCTTTTCTAAATTTGAATTTCGGAGGCCGGCTATGTACACATTATCTTTGAAGGAAATCAGCAATAGTCAACAATATGTTTAGAAGTTGAATTCGTTTTCAAATTTGATTTCATTTCGAATTCCATTTCAGATTCGTTTAAATTCGATACATTTGGAAATAACGAACGTTTTGTCCGAATTTCGATTCAGAACAAAACAAGCCACACATGTCTGATCCTTATTCTTGTCTAAAGCTTTTTGAATTGAGCCTATAGTCCTGTGTTTGTTGGGGACAGCATTGCTGACTTTCTCCCGTCCTCTCTCCACAGTCAGGCCTGGAAAATGTCCATCACCCCTTAAAATCAATTGTATCAGGGCTACGCATACCTGCAAACGTGACGATGATTGCTCTGGAGGGAAGAAGTGTTGTAATATCTGTGGTATGAACTGCTGGACCCCAAAACCAGGTATCACCTCTCACTTCTATTACTGTGTTATAAAGATGGTCGATCACATCCCTCCTGCACTGTATAGCCAGATGGTGACACCATCATTCCCGACCTGCAGCTTTGCTGCTTATTTGAACCATCAATTATCCCAGTGAGGCACTCTTGTTGCTCCTTAGACACAAAAAAAGTCATCTCTACTAGCCGGCATAGAGGAATTATTAAACTCATTTCATACTGGAAACTGAAGACCCACTTCCATACATTTGCAAACATAACCTATATTGCCAAAAGTATTGGGCCCCTGCCTTTACATGCACATGAACTTTATTGGCATCCCAGTCTTAGTCCATAGGGTTCAGTATTGAGTTGGCCCCGCCCTTTGCAGCTATAACAGCTTCAACTCTTCTGGGAAGGCTGCCCACAAGGTTTAGGAGGGTGTCTATGGGAAGGTTTGACCATTCTTCCAGAAGCGCATTTGTGAGGTCAGGCACTGATATCAGGGGAGGAGGCCTGGCTCGCAGTCTCCGCTCTAATTCATCCCAAAGGTGTTCTATGGGGTTGAGGTCAGGACTCTGTGCAGGCCAGTCAAGTTCCTTCACACCAAACTCACTTATCCATGTCTTTATGGACCTTGCTTTGTGCACTGATGCGCAGTAATGTTGGAACAGGAAGGGGCCATCCCCAAACTCTTCCCGCACAGTTGGGAATGCTGTCTTGGTATGCTGACCCCTTAAGAGTTCCCTTCACTGGAACTAAGGGGCCAAGCCCAACCCCTGAAAAACAACCCCACACCATAATCCCCCCTTCACCAAACTTTACACTTGGCACAATGCAACCAGGCAAGTGCCGTTCTCCTGGTAACTGCCAAGCCCAGACACTTCCATCAGATTGCCAGACAGAGAAGCATGATTGGTCACTCCAGAGAACACGTCTCCATTGCTCTAGAGTCCAGTGGTGGCGTGCTTTACACCACTGCATCCGACGCTTTGCATTGCACTTGGTGATGTAAGGCTTGGATACAGCTGCTCGGTCATGGAAACCCATTCCATGAAGCTCTCTATGCACTGTTGTTGTGCTCATCTGAAGGCCACATGAGGTTTGGAGGTCTTTAGCTATTGACTCTGCAGACAGTTGGTGACTTCTGCGCACTGTGCTCTTCAGCATGCGCTGACCCCGCTCTGTCATGTTACGTGGCCTACCGCTTGGTGGCTGAGTTGCTGTTGTTCCCAGTTGCTTCCACTTTGTTATAATACCACTAACAGTTGAGCGTGGAATATTTAGTAACAAGGACATGTCACGGATGGACTTATTGCACAGGTGACCACCTATCACGGGACCATGCTTGGAGTCACTGAGCTCCTGAGAGCGACCCATTCTTTCACAAATGTTTGTAGAAGCAGTCTGCATGCCTAGGTGCTTGATTTTATATGGAGGTGATTGGAACACCTGAATCCAATGATTTGGAGGGCTGGTCCAATACTTTTGACAATATAGTGTATATGGAAACTCCACGTCATACCAAGCTACCTACGTGCCATGCGGTGCTGCCCATTGTGCCACTGGTTAATTATGAATTGCAGAAAAGGTTTGCCTTTTCATTTTGCTTCCTTTACTCAATATGAACTGCCTCAACACATTTTTCTCCTGCCCCCAGTGCCTGAAATACCTCCCTTCCTCCTCAAAGTGCTTCTGAGCCTTAAAACGATCTCTCTACATCCATTGCCAGAACATGTTCCCCTCCAGCTCCCAGTGCCTGAAACACTTCCCCATCCAGCCCTCAGTGCTTCAGGACGTGAAATACAGTATATATATGTACTGCCATTCCCAGAATACTGTATATTCCCTTCCTGCCCCCAGTACCTGAAACACCTTCCTGTATAGACTCCTCCCCTCCCTGTACAGGCTCCTCCCCTCCAACTTCAGTGCCAACATACAGTATATGGCTTCTTTTTTTTTTTTTTTTTTTTTTTTAGAAAATAGTAGAAACTCCGCCCCCTCCCCAAGTCACACTTGTCTCCACCCCCTTCTAACCTCTAAGCACTGTTCCCTGTCTCCACCCCCCATCAACCTCTCAGTATCGCCCCTTTTAGAAAATACAGAACCACAAGTATCATTTTGTGGTGCTAAGTAATTAGTATATAAGGTGTTAACTTCTTGATGCCTACGTAACGCATTTGTGTAGCAGCAAACAGGTTGGGCTTCATCGCTCACACACTGCACGTATGTAGGCTTCTGTGCTGAAAATGCACTGACTGCACGCTCCCAGCATAGAGATTGAGCTGTCATGGACAGCTCTTGGTCTGTACTAATAATTCAGGGTTGAGGGGGGAATGGCGTCTGATCATGTGACCACTATGACATCAAATCACAGTGGTCACATGATTAGGTAGATCTTCCCACCCCCTGGGCATAATAGCCCAGACAACAGCAGCTGGGGCAGTTGGGGAGGGGTTAAATAAAACAAGAACGGCAGTAAAAATAGATCCCCTGCAGCCAGGAACAATGGACCCTTCCAGTAACAATAGACCCCCCAGCAACAATAGATCCAACATAGAAAGATCCACCCAACAAAAATAGATCCTTCTCAGCAACAATAGATCCTCCCCAGAAGCAACAGATTCCCCTAACAACAATAGTTTCTGCCCCAGCAACAATAGATTCCGCCAACAACAATAAATTACTCCCCAGCAACAATAGATTCCCCCAACAACAATAAATTACTCCCCAGCAACAATAGATCCTCCCCAGCAACAATAGATCCCCCACCAATAGACCCCACAGCAACAATAGATTCCACCCCTGCAACAATAGATTACCCCAGCAACAATAGATCCTCCCCAGCAAAAATAGATCTCCCACCAACCATAGACCCCCTAGCAACAATATATTCCACCCCAGCAACAATAGATCCTCCCCAACAACAATAGATTCCGCCAGCAACAATAGATCTTCCCCATCAACAATACATCCTCTCCATTAACAATACACCCTCTCAAGCAACAATTTATTCCCCCAGCAACAATAGATCGTGCTTAGCAACTAATAGATTCCCCAACAACAATAGATTCCTCCCCAGCAACAACTGATTCCCCTAGCAATAACATATCCTTCCCAGCAGTAATAGATTCCCCCAGCAACAATAGATCCTCCCCATCAACAACAGATTTCCCCAGCAACAATAGATCCTCCCCAACAATAATAGATCCCCTGAGCAATAACAGACCCCTGCTAGCAACAATAGGTACTCTAGCAGCCAGCAGCAATAGAAACCCCCCCCCCCCCCCCCCCGCCTACCAGCAACAACAGCCATTGTCGGCACTCCCTCTTCTCCCCTGAAGCCGCCACTGGCTGATACTAGGGATCACATGACCAGACCAGAGTGGGCTGCACAAAGGTAAGTATACACTCACCGGCCACTTTATTAGATACACCATGTTGGACTCCTTTTGCCTTCAAAACTGCAAAGTAGCCAACGCGTTTGGGGGATCCAAGTACCCCCTTCATTAGGGCTTGACTGGCAATAAAGTGCACAGACCAGCAGTCAACTGGACCTACAATGGTATTTATTCCAGTGTGAAGTAAAAACAAAGGCCTGATCAGCAGCTTGTCTGGCAGCCTTCATTCTTCATGGCATAGATTCCACAAGGTGATGGAAATTCCTCAGAGATTTTGGTCCATATGGACATGATAGCATCACACAGTTGCTGCAGATTTGTCAGCTGCACATCCATGATGCAAATGTCCCATTCCACCACATCCCAAAGGTGATCTATTGGATTGAGATCTGGTGACTGTGGAGGCCTTTGGAGTCCAGGGAACTCATTGTCATATCCAAGAAACCAGTTGGAGATGATTTGGGCTTTGTGACATGGTGCATTATCCTGCTGGAAGGAGCCATCAGAAGATGGGGACATTGGAGTCATATGACATGGTGCATTATCCTGCTGGAAGGAATATCAGAAGATGGGGACACTGGAGTCATATGACATGGTGCATTATCCTGCTGGAAGGAGTCATCAGAAGATGTGGACACTGGAGTCATATGACATGGTGCATGATCCTGCTGGAAGGAGCCATCAGAAGATGGGGACACTGGAGTCATATGACATGGTGCATGATCCTACTGGAAGGAGCCATCAGAAGATGGGGACACTGGAGTCATATGACATGGTGCATGATCCTGCTGGAAGGAGCCATCAGAAGATGTGGACACTGGAGTCATATGACATGGTGCATGATCCTGCTGGAAGGAGCCATCAGAAGATGTGGACACTGGAGTCATATGACATGGTACATGATCCAGCTGGAAGGAGCCATCAGAAGATGGGGACACTGGAGTCATAAAGGGATGGACATGGTCAACAACAATTTGTTTGATGCTCAATTGGTACTAAAGGGCCCAAAGTGTGCCAAGAAAATCTCCCCCACACCATTACACCACCAGCCTGAACCGTTGATACTAGGCAGGATGGATCTGTGCTTTCATACTTACTCCAAATTCTGACCCTACCATCTGAATGTCGGAGCTGAAATCCAGACTCATCAGACCAGGCAAGGTTTTTCCAATCTTCTATTGTCCAATTTTGGTGAGCCTGTGCAAATTGTAGCCTCCGTTTCCTGTTCTTAGTTGACAGGATGGCACCCGGTGTGGTCTTCTGCTGCTGTAGCCCATCTGTTTCAAGGTTGGACGTGTTGTGCATTCAGAGATGGTATTGTGCATACCTTGGTTGTAACGAGTGCTTATTTGAGTTACTGTTGCCTTTCTATCATCTGGAACCAGTCTGCCTATTCTCCTCTGACCTCTGATATTTTCATCCACACAACTGCCACTCACTGGATATTTTCTCTTTTTCTGACCATTCTCTGTAAACCCTAGAGGTGGTTGTGCATGGAAATCCCAGTAGATAAGCAGTTTTTGAAATACTCAGACCAGCCCATCTGGTACCAACGTTCCACGTCACTTAAATCCCCTTTCTTTCTCGGTTTGAACTTCAGCAAGTTGTCTTCACCACGTCTAGATGCCTAAATGCATTGAGTAACTGCCATGTGATTGGCTGATTAGTAATTTGTGTTACCAAGCAATTGAACAGGTGTACCTAATAAAGTGGACAGTGAGTATATATATCTTTTTTTTACACGGGTTGGTCAGGTGTTAGGAGGTGTGTGTGTGTGTTGGGGGGTGGTAATTCTAAGACTGCTCAGGTTTAGGCTGGAATTCTACTTTATAATATTTTTATTAAACTGCAGTGGGCTACAGAAAGGGACACGGGCAGCCAGGAGGGGTCAGGATGGCATAGCAGCTTCCATTGCAGGCAGAGGGTATATCATCCCGCCAGGGACTAACTGAGCTGGCCTGGAACTATAAAATAAAAGTCAGCAAATTTGGCCAAGATAAATCCGCAGTCCGACGGCATTTGAGTAGTCCCTGGAACCCTACCCCCCCCCCCCCCCCCCCCGCCTGCAATCTGCTAATGCTAATGACAACCTAGTGGCAGGTAGGGATGTAATTAAAAAAGGTCATTGGAGTCTGTATGGCAGCTACTGTTTGGTGGTGCCAGGAAAAATGTTGGGGTTCTTGCCTGCATGTCCAAGCTCCTTTTTATTTCTCAGTGCGGTGTTGAAACATCTATTCAATAATATTCCTGTCAATTTACATATATATTGTACATTCACATCAGTCCCTAACTGATATATATATATATATATATATATATATCTCATATATACAATAAACAAAATTCCGCACCCAATCACCTACAAAAATATCTACTATACCCAAAACAAAAGTAAACTTCCACCCTTGAAAGTATAAGTACATGTAGCTACATGTCTATATCGTATATATAGATCGTGTTTTGTATGCAACAAAATTTACTTTAGTTTATTTTTTTAATATATGTTTGATTGTTGGGTTATTATCGTGACATAAAAAATTTGGAACTACCAACATTTTATTCTCCATTGTCTCTGTTCTCAGATAACATATAATATTTATGGGTTTTAAATAATTTTCAGGCCTAAAATGTGCAATTTTAACATGCAGAAATGGCCCTGAAAATACTCTCAATATTTTCATAGATTTCAAGGAAATAGAAACTGTCAGTGTTGCCCATCCCTAGAACTATTCGAACAATTGACACCTAGGAGCTTTAGCATAAGCAAATTTACTGTTGTTTTCTGGTATTGTCTGGTCTGATTGTACTGTCTCTCCATACAGAGCCGATAGGGAATAGTACCGGGAATGATGGCAAACAATCCGACTCTCGCCAGTATGATTCCACGCGCTGCGGCAAGGATTCCGACTGCAAGAAGGACCAGAAATGTCGCACCTCCAGAGACAGACACAGAGATAATAGTAGTAGTTGAAGTAGTACTAGTAGTAGTAGTAGCAGTAGTAGTAATAGTAG